CCCCCCCCCCCCGATGTTATTTTAATGGTATGACAATACCTGTGAAATTTATTGGAAGGTTATATTGATTAGGAATTAGATAAACCTTAAAAAACACAGCGTACCTAAAAAAAATGTTTCATAAAGGCTGGAATTATATAGCAGCTGCAATCATTGATAAAAAGGTAAACTAAATATATTATTTGTGATTAAAATATAAAATAGTGCACTTAATAAGAATGCTAACATTCAGACCCGCAATTGCTAGGGAACCCTGGGTGCAGCGAGAATCAGAGTGCCCTTCCTCACAAACTGGAAACCCTACGTGATGCGTCCATCCATAGGTGAGGCATCCAACATCGCTGCAACCAGGTCCAGCCTCTAAATCAACAGGCCAAAATAACTGGCACTTGTCTTTAAGCGGGAACATCTGATTCCATCCTCCTGTTGGGTTCCACCCAGAGCCTGGCCAGCACTCTGGGGGAAGACCAAGGGATTTTCTAAAGGTAAAATAGTTAAAGTTCTTTGTCCTTAATGCCAGTAAATATAAAAATAAAGCATACATATAAAACATTAAGGCTATAGATAATACTTAAGACTATCAGACTTAAAATGACAGACTAAGGAGGTAATATATTTGAGTGCCGAGTGAGCATGCTTTAGAGCATTTGCTGGTGATTGATAAACAGAATGTTAACCTTTTCTAAGTGGCTTTTCACAAACGACACCAATTTATTCAATATGCAAGGCCCAAAAATTAGTACCAACAGTATTATGGTGAGTGGGCTGATCAGAGTAGAAAAAATGATGGTTAGCCATGGAGACTGTCTGAACCAAGAGCTGAACCATTCTTGTAGGGCTTCTCTTTCCCTTTTTCTTTGGACTAGCTGATCTCTCAATTCAGCCATGGTGTCCTGTACAATTCCTGTGTGGGCTGCATAAAAACAACATTCTTCCCCTAATGTGGCACAAAAACCTCCTTGATACAACAGTAGAAGGTTTAACCCTTGCCTATTCTGCAAAACGACCTTCGAAAGGAAAGAGACTTTTTCCAAAAAGAAGATAAGATTTTTCAATTCTTTGTAGGTCTTCATCTATGGTCATTTGTAGTTGGGATAATCCCTGGCGCTGGGTCGCGAGGGCAGAAACTCCCGTGGCTGTGCCGACTGCTCCTAGCCTGAGCAGCGTTGCAACGGTGATGCCTGTTAGTACCGCTCTTTTATCAATCTGGTGAGGTTCTTCGAAATAGTGATATAGGTCTTCCTCTGGATGATATAGGACCTTAGGAGCTACTATAACTTGGACACAAAAGTCGGCAGAATTATCAAAAAGAATAAGGGACTCACAGGGGGTTACTCCTGACTTGTGGCAGACCCACATTGCGGATGTAGACGGGATTGCCCATCTGTAGGCTCTGTTGACCCGAACAGTTTTCACACAAACAAAACTACCCCAGTTTGCCAAAGGGGTATTGCCCAGACATACGCCCTGGCCTTTGACCTGGTTCAGGGTGATCCCTCTCTGTGATGTGTCCCACCTGCATTGAGTTGGATTATTGTCTGGCGAATAGTAAAAGGAGGCATTGAGGGCGATGCTCTCATAAAAGGGCGGGTTCATATCGTAGCACAGCCAGCAGGAGCTTGTGAGGTCTGGATCTGACTGGTTCAGTGACCAAAAGGTAGCATTCAGTACATTAAGGAACGGCTTATCAGGGGAGCGGTAAGGGCCCACCTTGGGTTCGCTTGGAGGGGTTATCTGCTTAGCTACTAGGGGCGTAGTTAGGATAGGGGTGGATAATGGCAAGCTTTCTCTTCCTTGTTCAGCGTCATTGTCGTTTCTGACTATGACATTGGGGCCAATTGCTGTGCTGCTTTGTATTCCTCGTTTTCTAATAGAAAACAAGCTCCCCCTGTCCATACTAGATTCATAATGTCTGATGCCCCAAGTTTTCCCAATCATCCATCTCAGATCATCCTCATTGGTGACATTGAGCATAAGGTACAGACACCAATTCTTGATTTTCCCATGGGTTGCTTCTAGCCCTGGTCTTAAGGGGTCTTTTGGAGGAATGACACACCCATAAGGTCCTGGTTGTACTTTCAAATATTTGTCTGGTCCTGCCTCTTGGCACCCAATCTGAGGCAATTGTCTCACATCCCCAGTGGGAACAGTAATACTGATTGGGGGCGTTACAGTAAGGCCTGCCGGGGTTAGAGCTGGGACACATGTAATAGCTCAACGTGTGTAAACAGGACTCTACTGGGGCTAAGTCACAGAGTTTTACCTGAAAGCCCGGGGGCCCCGAAGTGATGATTGTTTGCAGTATCTCTTGATCCCATCTCGTTAATACCCATTCCCACGGCTGGTGTTCATACGAGCCACAAGATACTATGAACCCTAAAAGCAAAATTAAACAGAAACATCGCAGCAGCCCTTTGCGGGGGCGTCTCAGCTGACGCTCGGGTTCTGGTGAAGCAGAGCTATCCGCTGTAGTCAGGGTATTCTCCGACTCACTCTCCTCTCTCGCCACAGGAGCATACGGGTTACGGGGGCGCCTGACGGTTAGGTTCTGCAAATAAAAACTTATAGTTCTCATTAGTTTCATCCTAGAGGTCGGGTTTAATAGACTTAAGAGGGCACCATTTAATTTCACCATCTTTTTAACTGCGGCATACTCCCGTCCTGTTAAAACTAGCCTCCACCCCTGTTCCCATTTTCCCAGTTCATTTCTGATTGTGGCTGGTGGACCTTCTTCTAATGCTCAAGTGGTCCAGTATTTTTGGGCGGGGCTATGTACCTCTTCTCCTCTGGGGAATTGGTTTAACGTTAGCAGGGCGGTTGCTAAAAGATGTACTTGGTCTTCTGATGGAATGGCATTGGTAAAGCCTTCTTTCTTTGCTAATATTTCTAATTTCGATTTCAGAGATTCATGTAGTTGATGGGCCTCCCTTAGCATCTGTAATTCTTCTTTTGCAGCAGTGACAGCTTTATCATCACCGATTTGGAAGTACCTTTTAACAGGACTATGACTGTTGATATGGAGAGCTGAAACGGGGCCTTTCCTGGCGGAGAGTGCCTCTTGGAGCATTAGCGCTGTTGTGG